AAAGCCTAYAAACATTTCATTGTCAGACGATTAAATATTCATTGTTGGTTCGATCAAGACTAATAATTAAGTCGTCGCTCTTGGACAATAGAAATACTGTTTTCTTAGAAACTTGCTGCATAGCGCAAAATAGTGGAGACTAAACAATAGAAAATTTAGCGCTAAATTAATCCATCCTATTAGTGTTTGCACACTTAAAGGTGGAATTTTAGACTGCAAACGCCAAACCATAAAAAACGTTTATTAATTAAATAGTGCTAAAATAGTCTCCTTTACGGTTACCTGCGTCATCTTGAAAGGTAGCCGTGCCTTTGCATCGAAGCGAGACGACCGTTGAGCGTGCAATAATAGATACCTGTGAATAATTGTCTGTAGTAGGTGTGAAAAAAGGTTTCTATCATTGCAAGCTCAACGGTCGTCTCGCTTCGATGCAAAGGCACGGCTACCTTTCAAGATGGCGCAGGGAAYCRTGAAGAAKACTACTGTACTAAATTAATTATGTGAATTCCTTTGTTTTCTATTGTGTTATCTATTTAGCACTGTTTGGTTAGTAGAGCGCGCTTTTRTAAAATCGGGRCACMTAAGAGTGATCGCACTTAAACCGTGCAACTGTACAAACTAAACAGTTCTATTTAGTTGTATTTAGTAAATYGTGCATGCGGTACGCAAATTAAATTGAGTTGATTCAAATGAAGCATTCAATACCGTCTTGCTTCAGGTTCACTTTTAGTACAAATTAATACTCCYTAGATTTTGTACAGTTGCTCTAAGAGTGATCGCACTTAAACCGTGCAATTGTGCAAACTAAATACTGCGATTTAGTTCATGTACCAAAAGTTTCTGGTTGTATACTCAGCAAATCATACATCCGTTACGCAACTWTAAATTGAATTGATACAAATGAAGCATTCAGCYGTCTTGTTTCAGGTCCACTTTGAGTACAATTTAGTGCTACTTCGATTTTGTGACGGTTACTAGTGTAATCACTCTAGTAATATACACTCATTTTGTACTATCTTATGCTAATTAGTATTTTGTTTTCTTTTGTTCAACTAGCACTATTTTTTTAACAATTTAGTAAATAGTGTTTCATGGTTTGACTGAAAGCACTCTACATTTTCACGGTTATAGTGTTTGCACTCTATTGTTTGAGCACTATTTAGTTTAAGTGCGATCATAACTCTACCATGCCCTGGAGTCTAATTTGTATCTTTCACTTCTGCAATTTAAGAAAATGGCATTAATGAATATATACTAGCAATTTCCATCCATAGGATTTTTTTTGATCCAGTTGCAGATCCAGTACAAATCTCTGCTATTTTGATTTTGTACAAACATTATCAGTATGCTCATTCGCTATCCTGAGTGACTCGGTCTAGAAGTTGAAACATACCAAGTGATCATCTGTTTACAAGTGGCACTTTAGAAGTGTTTTGAAAGCTCAAAAAATTTCTAAGAGATATAGTAATAATCATGATGCATAACATTTTTAATTTATCAAATAAATTATCAATGAAATACCTAYATTYSTAATATATAATTATTCAWGAAATACCAATATTTYTGATGYATAATTCTCAATGAAATACCTATATTTCCCATATAGAATTATTCATAATAAAATACAAGGATAAAAATATAAAATCTATATTTCCGTCACTTTCGAAAATATCGTAATACCTCTATTTATTGGAGTATTCAATAAAGTTATTTTAAAGCATGATTTGCTTTCGTACGCCGGAAAATGATAAGATAAGGAGAATATTGCATGGTCGCCTGGAGATACGGATTTTATCTTCTTTGCTTGAGCTAAAGATCTCTTTAGCACTCGAAGATAAAAAACTTATCTCTCTACCCATGTGATATTGTGATTCACCAAATGATTAAATAAATGTAGGAACGAATGATTGGATGATTGAATTTATCTCATTATAGCCTGGGGAGGTTGCGTGACGCGTGATCGGAACTAAACACGGCTGCGAGGAGACTACCTTTCCAGTTGCGGATCCAGGATATTTTTTCCCCACGGGGGACCTGGGAGAGATCAKTTTTCAAATATTTTCATTACATTCTTTTTTCTATATGTTACAGCCTTAGGTATGTTTTTTGAGTATTTCTGCGTAGATAGTCTGAGCTAAAAATTAAAAAGAATCTTAAATATCTGAATATATATGATTTAATAGAAGTAAAAGAAATCAGACATTTTGTTTCCGTAGGGGAGGGGAGGGAGGTGGGGAGCAATTTCCCCCGTCCCCCTCCCTGGATCCGCCCCTACTTTCAAATGAACTGCCATTTTGTATTCCCGTAATCTTCTTATTTGCTCAGCAGGTTTTTTATTAACGCCATTTTCCTGCCGTTAACAACGAAAGTTAAATATTTAACAGTTGAGTGGTGCCATAAAAAAATGATTCTATTTGGATCGGTCGAGCTTTTAAAGCCTAAGTGTTTTGGATATTTTATGGAAATCTGAATATGGGAACTGCATGRCACTATGATAAACATGATATAAAAATAAAGGAAAGGAATAGTGCTTAATTAGAAGGAGGTTATTCCGGGTGATAAATTGGAAATAAWGTCGGGAAAATCAATTTCCGACCTCGCTGGGATTCGAACCAAGGGTCTTTCTCCTGGAACAACCTCCTTCTAGTTAAGMACTATAATTYCTTTTCTTTATTTCTATATCATGTTTTATGGAGATTCGATTTATACAGCCTTGTGATTAAGTATGAAGTTTGCGGTTTGGTAGTTGGAGTTTACATGTAGCTTTAATTTTTAGTGTGTGAATTTCTATGAATATCACGCTAGTTAATAATAATGAATCTCCAAATTTGTCAAAAATATCTACAACATGTTCTTGTAGTTTGGTAGCGTTGCTACCACTGAGATCTCCTGATCGGTGTGACCCTTCGACACTCTTAAGTCAATAATATACATTAAAGATATTCCGCTCAAGTCGAGCCTCTTCAATGACAATACGCAGATAAGAAAAATATACTAAAGTTTRTAACAGAATAAAGGCAAAGGATGGCATTGTCATTCGTCCAGAGTACAGTCGCTCTGGGAATTCTCACATAGTTCCATTCCGTTTTATGTTCATATTAATAGCTATTTCAAAAAATGTTGTCGTTGCCAGGACACAGTCCACGGTCTAGAGACTGCAAAGAATCTCCCAACGTTTTTTGAAATAGGTGTATATAAGTGTTGAGAACTGTTGAATGATTTGATACTGCCAAGTACTGCGGACCGAAATGCATTTATGTCACTCGGTAGATGCCATGCAATTGGCATTACCCGAAATTCTCAACTATTAATTACTCTCTATTGTAGGTACTAAGCTGGAATACAATCTAAAAAACTGTGAAACCCATTTAAGAGAGGTGACGAGGAACACTATTCATTTCGATTTTTGCAAACACTATTAGACAATATCCAGTACACATAGAATTCTAAAATGACATCAGTAAATTTAGCTAGAATAGCGTGCACTTTTGGTAGCTATTTACGTGATGAAGAGCATACAACATTCTTGGAAATAATGATTAATTTCTGAATTAGACTCGAGCAGCGTTGTAGCCATATGAACAGCGCGCTTTTCATAACTTGAYGATATACTCTATGTTTATGTTTTTAATAATTTATGACTTATGACAAATTAAAATAATAGTCAATGTATAAAAAAGCGTTGATACACCGAAAAARGAAAAACAAAAGAGTCGAAAAAAATCTATTCCGAGTATTTCACGGCTTTATGGGAACCACTAATTATCAAGCTTGTAGTTTTAGAAGCTTTTCACGGATTTGAATTATAATTTTGGTTCTTCTCACCACAAAAACACGTCTTAATACTTGTAGCTAAAACCTTTATATAGATAAAAAAAAGAAAATATGTATTTTGTAGAATATTGCTTAATATAGATTTTTCATTCATTGATTTTACAATAACAGGTAATTTCAAAGCTTAAAGTGCCTTTTTTTGTTGTTTTAAACTTCCAGCTTGCATTCAGAAACTAAATGCAAGGAAGTCATCACAGGTTTCTATATTTCTCTCATTTTTAAAAGCTTTATGATTAATTTGTCAGTAATTATTACATTCCCTGAAATCTGTTTTTGTTCTGATACTAAAAGTCTATAAATGCGCCAAAGACTGCACGACATATCGCATGCAGTTAAAGACTTTATTCAGCCAATAATCTATGAATTGCCCATGAGGTTATCGATAAAATATTAAAGCATGAGAACTGTCCAGTGGAGATTACGAAATGCCTGCTAATGATTTCTGGAGTATTTTGGCTTTTTTACAGTTGAAAACCATGTTTATCGTCGACAGAAGGTGAAAATCTGAATCGATTCTTTAAAATTATAAATATCGACCAAAATCAAAACGGGAATTTCATGCATCGTTGTCTTTAAAAAGAGTTTTTCAAGCGCCAATCAGCCCCAGAKAGTTTTAAAGTGTTTTACATGTAAATTATTTCATTTTAATCACGTTTTTGCAGCGTTACTGATCGAAATAATATGTTTATCTAAGTATTTCTTGTAACATGTTCAGATTATTCGAGAAGTGTGTGAAAATGACTTGTTTTAAGTTAACTACCTATCGCCTGTTTAAACATTATTGCTTTTATTAACTTTAGATAATTACTTAACACGGTAGTATAGCTTTGCTCCAATGTTTTACTTAATTAAAAAATATACAAGTACATTGGAGGCGAGATGATATTGAATTGAAAATATTCATGATTCGTGAGCTTTTTCGCTGTAAAATTACCAAAAAACAAGCTAGGGTACTACGGCTAGCTTTAAGCAAAGTTTGCGGCTTCTTAGCATTGAAATTTCAGATAAGCTTTAAATTAAATCCGCAAGAGAAATTCGKCTGTGGAGTTTGTTTAGATTGATATATTTATTCTGAATTGATGATGTAAGTGGATAAGATGCATTCATTAAAAATTGATATCATTATTAAGCTATTTGAAATCCACACTCTATTTCATTTGATTTAGATTCTCCTCAAGTCAAGACCCTAAGCAGAATCGGCTTCGAGCAAGCATCGTGTTGATAAAGAAATCAGAGTGAAAATCTACGCATTTKCCACCAGCATTTCCTTGATGGCTTTTCGTTTGATAYCCATTCTGTTGGGCTTCCTACTATTTCAATTCGTAAAAAGCGAGACAAACTCACTTTGTCCTGAKTCTCAAAAAGCATCATTTTATTGGCTTCCATATGGAGAAGAACTGGCATACTCGAACAACACGATGAGTGGCGACTTATATGTTTTYCTRTCTGCCGCTTTGGAAGTTTGTTGCCCTTCCCTGGAACTTAAATACTTCCAGATGAAAGTTAATTCTTCGAAAGAAATTGAACTTTCAATTCGCGAAGACAGAAGTCAATCCCTCKCGTTGTACTTTCCAGTTTTTGCGAATAAATAYCAAAAGGAGAAATTCCAGAGACCATTCATAGGYCTRTATGACTCTCCTGGACCTATCGTATTTGCAGTAGATCAGCCTTCCCAAAAAGGAGCTGTTTTGACCGCGTTAACAAAATCGTGGCAGATTCCCGCCCTGTGTGTTCTACTGGCATCAATATCAGGCGTAATTCTGTGGTTTTTGGTGAGTTTATTTTATATTGTAATTTCAGCTTGCGGGTAGGTTTAGACTCAGAGTTATTTCAACAAAGTTAATCGCCTATTCGAAAAATATGATGTCAAATCAAAAACAAGTCTTGGGGGGAGGTCTGTGGTTAATAAAACATGTCTTTCAACCAAGCAGTGTTTATCTAAATCTCTCCACTTGTATCTTACTTATAGTGCTGGCTCTTTGTTTCGATTTTTTTATTGCTTTGTGTCTTAACTTTCTTCTTCAGCATTTTTTTCACATACATATCAAATTTTAATACTTTTTCTAAGTTTTTCCGCCGTCGACAAAAAATCTTCAATATTCCGCTAAATTTTTTATCTCAATTTAATTTAGACTTGTCTTTTACCGAATGCCGAAAAAAAGAAAGAAATTATTATATTCTTGTTGTAACCAAAACAATTGGTTTTTGGACGTAATTTGTATTATTTGGAATATATACCCGATGGCTTATTACAATCTATATTAAAAAAAGTCAGCGATATCATATGTTTATAGATCATTGACTTTTATTCAATTGAAGTTTTCAACTATAAATCAGACTTTTCAAAGACTAGGGGCATATTTATCTTTTAGTCCTTTCAAAATAAAATAGATTTGCCAAATACGAGCAAACGKTAGGACTCTGTTTACTATGTTTAGCCCTTTGAATTTGCCGTAGAAAAGGCAGACAGTTTTTATTGGGCTGTATTTTAAGCCACTTTGAGACTGCGGAACTAACTGAAGTTCAAATAACTTTAAGGACAACAAGACATGAGAGATATATGTGCTTTTAGCGGAGCTGTATTACTTGCTTATGTAAACAAGTTTTTTTGAAAGATTTAATTTGCATCGGAGAAAAGCTGACTTGTGTACAGCACTTGGTAGCGCGCGCGTGTTGAATGTCATCTTTTGGCCCGAAAAATATAAATGTTGGAATTCTTTCTTAGCTAGTCAAATTTCACCGTGAATTTTCTGATTTATCCGAATAAACTAGCATAATAAAGTTTATTATGATTAGACGGCTAAASTAGAGACAATTTCAAACGAATGTATAATTTGAAATACAGAAGTTTTTTTTACAAATGTACAACATTAACAAGTCACAAAACTTGTATTCAATTAAGTATCGATTGAAAATACAAGTCAAATACTTTAAAAAAATAAAAAATAAATAAATCAAAAAGCACATGAGTGTTATACAATTAAAAACATGTACCAATGATTTGTAATTTTTTAATGGTAAGTTGTCCGATTTATGATATTTGCAAACTGGAAAAAACAATTTTCCTTATTTAAGTAACTCTTGTATTACTTTCAGTACTAATTTTTTTTCAGGGATTCTATGTAATCCAACTCGCACGTTAATTAAAAAAGAATGTTTGTATTTATTTTCTGAAAACAACTTGAGGTGAAATAATRCTAACCTCTTTCGGCATATACTCTCCGTCAAAATTAAAATTGTACAGTTCGTGGCTTTAAATTATTTTATTGGTTTCTGAAGAAACACTGTGACCGATGGATGCTAGTGGGTTTTTAATCAATAACTCACAAAGCCGGCTTTTGYATTTTCATAAAATATGTGATTTGCCTTTTTTCCTGGGCAAACTTAGTATGATATATGTTCTACACTTTCGGATAAAACAATCACGGCATCATATTGTCTCTCTACCTTAAGACTTACTCTGATTGAGGCAAAAGATAAAGAAATGAAAAACTCCGTGTGTTATATGTAAGCAAATAAATAGRAGAGATAGTAGTCTGTTTGACGTACATAAAGCTGAGTTATCTTCTAGACCTTTCTATGGTCATTTTAATGGCCGCGGTCAACCAGCATCCCATGCGAGCTTTTGTTTATTTTTGAAGATAAAAACACTTCGTAATGTAAATAGAAACGTGCTCTTTATTATCCCTTTATGCTATATGAATGGAGTTATTGTAAGATTAGATCGTAAAATTCACAAGGAATTGAAACGGATTGCGAATGAATATTTGAAGTCAYCTCATTTTCCTTATAAGAAAAAAAGAATTAAAAAAYGAGTGTTATGAACCGGTTGACAATGGCTCTTTAATTCATATGAYAGTTGCAAAATAAGCAACATTTTACAAACATTAATCCCTGCCAAATGATTATGATAATTGAGAATTTATATCAACTATAAGCTACTATGATATGTGGCTCGCTTGAGTTTTGCTAGCCGCTGCATTACAGTAATTTAGGCTTGATGATGATGATGATAATGATTATTATTATCATCATTAATAATTATTAATACTATTATTTTTATTATTATTATCATTCTGTATTAACTCTCCTTTCCTTTGCATTTATATTCACTACTCCCTTAGAAAGTGTTTTAACGAAATGTTTTATTAATCAAAATAAAGATTAAAAGCTAGCTTCCCGTGTGAATCTAAATCTTTCTATCAACTATCATCACCGTTTGACCAAAGCCGTGACCATTCAAAAATTCATGTATAAACAAATTTTTATTACATGCATGACGAGTATGAGGCATCTGTAACACTTTCATTGCATTTTTTATCAGTACAAATGGGGTTTCGGTACTACTCCATTAAATTAAAACAACTCTGGCTTTAATAAATTATGGTACTTATAAAGTGCGTGATATCTTTTAAGTACTTTGCACTTATGCTTATGAAGCAGTCGACAAATATTAATATAAGTGACACATGCACGCCGTCGAAAGAAACCAAACTATAGTAAATGCCATTGTAAATACACACAAAGTCACAAGAAGCATGTGAAATTCAAGGGTATTTCGATAGCAGTTGTCGTTTAGATTTTTCATATATAGTAAATATTGGGTAACTTCAAAAATCCATTCGCATTTTTTTAAGATCGAATCATCGCGTACAATATCTTCATTCAGGGAATATAAGGAATACGATATTAAGAAACTCTGACTGCTAGCGTGTATATATGATTTTACTTGAATATTTGGTTGAACTGAGATATAATATCGATAACCATTAGAGAGCTAAATGGATTTGAAATCTTATCTTAGCRAAGCWAGAGAGAGAGAAAGCGMAGATCACTTAAAAACAMACCCAATATAATTCGTGGATRATACACTCAATATAATATGTCTACAGCGTCAAAATGTTTGCGACTGACTGTACATGTTTGTCTTTATGTTAAGCATGGTTAATACGCAGCATAATCATAGCTTTYCGTGTCTAACGCTTATGCTTCTGTTTATGTCATTTGTGTCAACCACTGGCAGGTGTTACCTTATCAAATCAGTACATGTATGTTTTCGATCATGTAGCTT